TGTCAGTGGGCTGTGCCTGTCCTGGTGAGTGGGGCGCACGGCCGCCGGGCCCCTCCCTCCTTTACCCTCTCCGCGGATCCCTCACCCCTTGTTTGGCGAGAACTTGTGTGTGGGGCGTCGATGGCATGGCGGAGGTAGGGGGCTGTGAGGGGTATGTGGGACCTCAGTCCGGGGGGAGGGTTTTCCTCAACTATGTAAATGCGCAGCAGCCTGGAGGCGCGGGGTGAGGGTGCTGGGGGTAGCTTGTGTGTAGATTTTTTTTGTTGGGGGGGGGGAGAGGCTATTTGGGGAGGGGTTTGGGGGGCTGAAATTCCCAGAATTCCAGGGTGTTAGCCAATCAGAAGTGAGTCTAGACTTTTGACCCCCCCTCAGGTCACCATAGAGTTGTGATTGGCTGGCTTGGGTTGCCCCCCCCCCCATTGCTGCCTATTCCCTCTTGCAGATCCTGTGACACCCCCCTCCAGGCTGTTTCTGAGGACCGTGTTTTGGGGGAGGGATTAATTGGGGCCCAGCCTCCCCCACCTCCAAATTTTCCTGCCTGTTGCCAGGGAAGGTTGGCTCTCTTGAGGGACAGGAGGTACTCCGGGAGGGGGCAGATAATTGGACCCTGTGGGAGAGGGAATGTGGCAGCACTAGGCAAGCTAGGGACTACAGTGATTTGTGAGAATTGAGTTGAGGGGAGCAATGCTTGACCCCAAAGCGAGAACTTGAGAAGAACTTAGGCTCAGATCCCTGCCTCCCCCAGAGCTCTTGCCAGTGACAGCCTGGATCTGAGTTCTTTCCTGGGGAGGGGAGGCTCTCCCTCTCTGCCAGGAGGAAAGAGAGGCAATGTGATTGTAGGGGTAGTTTTCAGAGGACCTCAGAACACTGTCTATCCCCATTCCCAGGACCCTGGGTTCTTACATACATTTCTTTACTTTTAGAGAGGTAACGAGGGAGAGGGGAAAAGAGAGAGGGTCAGAGAGAGGGAGAGAAAGAAACATAGATTTGTTGTTCTACTTATTTATGCATTCATTGGTTGATTCTTTTATGTGCTCTGACTGGGGATTGAACCTGCAACCTTGGTGTATCAGGTTGATGCTCTAACCAATTGGGCTACCCAGCTGAATTATTTGCAGGCCCCCCTCCTGTCCCAGGCTGGAGTTAGCTTTCTTCTTTTCTTCTGAAAGTCAGATGTCCCTCAGTCTAGCTTGGTGTGGGTCCTTTGCTCCTCTAGATTCCCCATTTTCTGGGAGGCCCACACCCTACAAGTGCCCCCCACCCCAGTCCTCAAGGGAAGCTGCCAGTGAGGAAGCTTCCTTGAAAATCATGTGACCCAGGCCAAGCTGGTCTGGGCACACATTTAAAGTGCCTGCTGAGGCTGACGTGTAAGGGGCCCAGGGCCCAGAGGGAGGGCTAGTAAAGCCTGAAGATCCTGGAATATTTGGGTGTGGGAACCCCTGGCTCCTGCTGCAGACAGTGGGGAGAGGACAGAAAAGAGTTTACTAAGCTGGAATCTTGCCTGGCCCCATCATTCCTCCTCATAACCAGCTTGGTGTGCATATTTGTGTGTGTGTGTTTTTCAAAGAACGGCCCTGTGCTGGGCACCTTGTTTGGATCCATCCTTGCTCTCCACCCCATGGCCTTGATCCTCCACTGCCTCATGTGAGCATAGTAGGAACTAAGGCTCTGAACAAGCTAGAGGCTCGAGTCTTACATTTTGAATCTTAGTTCCTATAAATAGTGGGTAGGAGGTGTGTAGAGGGGTTGTCAGGCTGGAGGTAAATGAGAGGTTGGCCCTGAAGTTGAGGCAGGGTGCCTGGGTCCAGCAGAGAAGGGAGAAAGTTTCCTCCTAAGCCTGTCTGGGAGGAGCATGGGGCCAGGAAGAGGACTTGTGCACAGGTGTGTGTGTGGGGGGGGCATCTTCAGTCACACCCCAAAAGGCACGTTCTGTTTGTGTGTCTAGTGGCCCAGCTAGGGGAGAGGGGGCAAAAGATGGCTAAGAGCAGGGAATCTTTTTACCCAATGTGAAGAAGTCTTATGGATTAATGCCACAGAGGATGGATAGAGGTTAGACCTAAAGGAGAACCACATGCAGAGAGGCTTGAGAGTGGCCTGGGGGTGGGGAATGGTAGGAATTGGGGTAACAGAGAGGACCAGGCTTGCATGAGTGGGTGGGAGCTCATGGTTGAACATAAGGGCATCATGGCAGCATGTACAGTCCAGGCCCAAAGGCCCCCCCCGCAACTGGAGCAGCCCTAGGGTGGGCGCCCAGGCGCCCTGGCAGGCCGCCTGCCTGCTGCCTGCCTGCCTGTCTGAGTCTCTCCTTTGTGCTCTGCTGTCTCCCAGCTCCTCCTCCTCCCCTAGCCCAGGAGAGACAGCACATGCCCCACACATGTGACTGAGGGAAGCCAGAGCACACACAGACCCACACACATGCACACGCAGAAGGAACACCACAAGATATACACATACACACACCCTCAGCTCCCATAGTGCTCCTGGGGTGGGGAATAGCTTCTGGGGCTTTGGTCAGGAGCAGATAGAACCTCTGCTAAGGGACATCACCCTGGATAGGACAGGTTGCTGAGGGGGCCAGGGCCTGTCTGGGGCAGCATGTGGCTCAGAAGGGTTAAGGCAGGGAGGAGTAGGGGGAGGGGAGGAGGCAGCAGTGGTGGCGGCTGGGAGCCAGGAGAAGAGGATGGCAGAGCGCCAGGCCAACGGGAGGCCGGGCACAGACAAAGGAAGGGGGGCAGGCACACTGGAGGCCTGGGTCAGGGAGCCCCAGGGGCCCGGGCAGGGGGCAGTGCTGGTACCTTATCCTGAAGGCTACTGCCCTTCAAAGTCCTCACCTCCAGGAGGGGTGCTCTCCCTCTACTCTTTCCTCATCACCTTTGTCCTTCTTTGATGCCTTCCCCCTCATCCCCACCCCAACTATTAGGACTTTCTAATTCAGACTTGCTCTCTTTGGCTGGACCTCTTTTCCCCTGTGCAAGTGGGGGAATTAAGTCAGAACACAGAGAGGGGCAGACTTGCTAGAGAAGGAAGTAGGAGGGGGCCCATTTCAAATGATACGCCAGAGTCTTGGTACGTCTGTTGTCTTGGCATTTAAGGTTCCTTCTCCCCTACATTTGAGGAGACAGACTGGGTGGGGGTTCTGCACCCTGAATTAGGGGGCAGAAGCCAGAGCACACACCTATACCCCTTCCCATGTAGACAGTCATTTCTGGGCCTGGAGTGGCCGTTCTTTGGAGGGAGCAGAGAGTAGGAATCACTGCAATGTCCCAGGTCTGGGCTTAGATGAGTCGGGTTAGAAATGCAGGGCCTCGGGCCTTTCTGTCTCATTATAATCTGTTCTAGTTAGGCTAACATTTGGCCCTATGTGCTGTACTTTTGAGATATTGCCTATGAACACACTTTGGACAGTTTAAAGGCACCAAACAAATGCCAGGAATTGTCAGTAGTGAGGTGTGTGTGGTTATCTTAGAGCTGGGCTGCAAACTTGGGTCAGTGAGAATGTCTCAAATCCTGGTGTAGGTAGTATGTGGTAGAGTCTGGCTGAATGTCAGAGCTTTTGGTATGTTTGTGAAAGCCTGGATGTATCATGGCCGGGCCATGATGGAGAACTGTGTGCAGGTTCCGGGAAGGGTGGTAGTTCATGGGGTTAGTGCCTGGGTGGTAACACATGGTCAGGACGTGTGTGGAACAGTCCGTCACAGGTTCAGGAGGTATATAATGCACTTTTGGTGCGTCCGTTGGGGTCAGGGCGTGCCTGTCACTAGCCCCAGTGTGTATGGACGTCAGGGCCTGACATGGACTGTGTATGTGTGTGCATCTTGGGTTTGGGTTAGAGTTTGAGATACGTATGACTGGTTGAAGTATGTTTCAGGTACTGATTTATGTGAAAGTGAGATGTGTTACTTATATGTGGAGGGCGCTCACAGAGCCAGGTGCGACGTTCTTACTGCACAGCCGACTGGTGTGTAAGTCAGGAGGAACCCTGTCCTGGGGCTGTGAGTGAGGGGGGTGGGGGGTGGGCAGGGAACAGGGAACAGCGACTCAACCTGCAGTGAAGTAGGAGGTTATATGCTGCCCCCTTCAGAGAGAGAGGGAGAGAGAGAGAGAGGGAGTGTTTCTTTTTTTCCTGTCCGTCCAGGGAGTAGGGCCTGGACCACTACCTAAGTTTTAGAAACACCCCCTCTTGGGAATCCCCTTTGCATTGGAGAAGAGCTCCTACCCCCAGTAACCACATGCCTTTTTTCCTGGGGTTGTGGGGAGGATTTAGTAGCAGACCAGGCCCCCTTCTGGGGATCCTTGGTTGGGCAAGTTTGCCTTCCCTAGCTCTGACAGCGCCTCTTTCCCCTGCACCCACGTGTCTCCGGTGGTGGTGGCTGCGGTGGGGGAAGGAGCTTCCTGCTAAGGCAGATCTAAGTCAGGGCTGGGAACTCGGCTGGGTTGGGGGCCCAGGAGCCTGGAGTGCCCCCCTTCCTCCAGTCAGTCGTTTATAGACTGAAGTCAGAGTGTATCTCTGTTAAAAACAACTCCCTGGAGTCTCCCCCCCCTTAGTTGCTCTGGGATTTCACCAGGGGCTGAAGCCCAGGGTGGCAAGAGAGATTTGGGGCACGTTTGGGAGGTGGTTAGTAGGTACTGGGAGTCTCCAGAGAGGAGAGCACCCTCCTCCATCCCTGCCTGTGGCTTTGGCTCCCCTGCTCACTCCTGAGCAACGCACCTGGGGCTTGGAGCGAGCATTTCAGTTCCTGGTCCCCACAGGCCTCCCCTCCACCCAGGTCTCTCCAGGCCCAGTCTGTTTTGTTTCCATCTCTCCATCCCAGTCTCTCCCAGTCTCTGTCTCTCTTTTGTTTTTCTCAGCAGTCCTCCCTGCCTGCCTGCCTGCCTCTCTCGCTCCCGCGCCCTCCCTCTCTCTCTCCCTCTTCCTCTTCCCTGGCTGGGAGGGGGCGGGGCCGGTGGGGGCAGCTCCACCCTCTGCCCGCCCTGGGGCCTCATTCTGAGAGGCTCCGTGAGCGAGCAGGGAGGGAAGGAAAGAAAGGGAGAAAAGGCTGGGAGCTGGTGGGCGCTGCGTGTGTCTGTGCGTGTACGATTGTGAGTGAGTGTGAGTGCCGGGCCCTGCCTCGTCTGCTGCCCCGGCAGAGGGGCCTGGTGGCCTGGGGAGGGCAGGCGGGCTGCTTGGAGGTAGAGGCAGCGCGAGGCGGCGGCGGGTAGAGCCGAGGAGGAGGAGGAGGAGAGAGGAAAGAGCGGAGCAGCCATTGTTGAGGGAAACCTTGCAAACAAAGAAGGCTCCAGACTCCCCGCGGCCCCCCGCCCCCCAGGCCGGCCCCCTGGCCCCCGGTCCCCGGCCCAGTGGCCATTGTAACTTTCCCCCGGGGCTGTGGCCGCCGCGGGGCAGGCCAAGGCTGTGCGTGCAAGTCTTTGTGCGGCCCACGGAGTGGAGCTCCCGGCCAGGCCTGCCCGTCCCACTCGGGACATGAGCGGCTGAAGTTGGCCCCCCCTCAGTCCTCACCCCTGCCAGGGCCCTGGTGGGCTTCCAGTCGCTCCCGTACCTCTCCTGGCCCCCTCAGTTCTCCCAGGTAAGTCTGGGCACCCCGCAAGCCTGTAGAGGGTGGGTAGAAGGTCCTGGGTCTGGCCCGGGCCTGGTATGCTGGCTGGGGGAGAGGTGCCTCAGCTTAGAGAGGCCAGGGCTCCCAGGCCTGCTGACCTCTGGTCAGCCCCAAAAGGGAGGCAGGCTGGTTACCATGGAAATGCCCAGCTGGAGCTGCCCCCCTCAGTCCTAGGATGCAGCTTCCATCCTGGGAAAACTTTACTAGTTCTGGGCTCTTCCTCTTTTCTCCTTCCTAAGGGTTCCCAGATTGCTGGAGGTGGGAGGGAGGCCATGCCGGACTCCAAGGCTGGATGACATAGCCCTTTCACCCCCACCCCCACTTTTCCCCTCTACCCCTGCTGCTGAGGACAGGCAGCAACAGGGACAGATGGTCTGGGTGATGTTCCCTCCCCTTCTCTTCTCACTCTCAAGCCCTTGTGCCGGGGCTCCCGGGAGCTGCCATGCCTCTGGAGAGATGCTGAGGGTTTTTGCGTCCATTCACTAGAAGTGTAAATCAAGGCCGTAGAGCTTTGGATTTTTGCCCCTCAGAACTGTTCCCCCGGCCAAGACAGTGCCTTTTAGTTCACTAGTGAGTGAAACTGAAGCTCTGAAACTTCTTTCAGAGTTAGAGGGGAATCCAGGTACCCTGCCTCACTTGTTTTTAGGGTCTTGAGCTGACACATTTCTTCAGGTGGCCCTGAAACTGAGGGGCAAAGACAGTGATGCTTTTGGGGGAAGGATGGCCTAGTCAGGCCCAGATCTGAAGAGTCTGCTCTTGGGTTCGTTGCCCAGGACTGGCCTCTGGTGAGCTGCATGAGCTGTGGCTTCCTACGTGGCCTTGGTCTACCTGTCGGTGGAATGCGGAGACTTCGGGCTGGGTGGGACTGTCTCTTCCTTGACACAGGCTCCTCGTTCAGTCTAGACAGGCATGTGAAGGCTGCGTGTGCCGTGCTGGGAGCATATGGATGTGGCCTGCGAGAGCTCGTGCGTGGGGCGAGGGCCTGTTTTGGGCACAGCGATCCCGCCTGGGGCTGCTGGGTTCCAGCCCTTGGTAGGCATGTCGGGGCGCGCTGAGGGTAGAAGCCTGCTCAGCAGGATGAGGCGCACACATGTGCAGGTACACACGGGCTCCGACTCTTGGCACCTTCAGGGACTGTGCAGTGTGGGCCTCTCTGGGACCCTCCTTTTGCCCATATTGTGAGGAAGGTTCCCTGGGGAGAGAATTAAATGACATACGTTGGCACAGGGTCTTCCTTTGTCTCTTCCCCCTGAGGAACAAAGTAGATTTTGTGTCTAAACTGGGGACGAGGCTAAGACACAACCAATACAGCTACCCTTCCAAATGCAATCAAGTTTGGGGACGTGAGGAAGCAGCTGTAACTGGGGTCAGGACCTTTGGAATGGTGCCTCAGTTTTCCCTCATCTTGGCAGGTGGGGGAAGATAGCATTGCAGGGGTACTTGGCTCATACCCAACTGTGAATCTAACACTCCTTCCAGTCAGGTGATACAGTACACCAGGAACTGCATGCTTCTAGGTGAGGGGAGAGGGGACATCCCGCACATGCCCAGGTACGAGTAGAGATCCCTGTCCAGTTACCACTTACCTCCTAGACTGAGCCCCCGGAACCTAGCCTACTCCCCAGGGCTCCTCTTTTCCTTTTGTAAGTAGAGTGAGATCCAGTGGAGGCCCCTCTACCCGCCTCCCGCACTGTAAGTCTTAGAAGACAGAATGGGTTAAGGCTTTGGGTTTCTCTTGTTTGGAGACAATACCAGACTAGTGGTGGGTGTGGGCGAGGGGGTTGGGCTGATAAGGGAGTGGCCGTTGGTGGGGGGGTCAGAAGGCCCAACTGGTTATCTGGTGGGTGGCACCCAACAGGCACCCCCCCCCCCCTTTATCTTTCCATCCCCTGCCCTCCTGAGACCCTGGGTGTGGAGGAGGGGCAGGGAGCTGGCCAAATCCCCTCTTTTCTCCTACAACTTGATCTCCAGAGGTCAAAAGAAGGGTAGGAATACTTCAGGATGTGGGAATCAGAAGTTCTGGGCCCAAGTCCTTAGGTCTGTGATCTTGGCAAGACCCCTTGAGCTTTTAGTTGTCTCATCTGTAAAATGGGAATGTTACAGTTGACCCTGCTGCCTCACGCCATGGTGGTGATGATTGAACAAAATAATGTAGTTGAGCCCTGACTGGTGTGGCTCGGTGGGTTGGGTGTTGCCCTGCAGGCTGAAACGCTGGTTCCACGCTCTGTCTGGGCACGTACCTGGGTTACAGGCCAGGTCCCTGGTTGGGGGCATGCGGGAGGCAAGCAATTGATGTTTCTCTTGCACATCGATGATTTTCTCCCTCTCGTTCTCCCTCCCTCTCTCTCTAAAAGATAAATAAATAAAATCTTTAAAAACAATAATGTAGTTGAAAAGGGGGTTTATTAAAATTAGATTCTAATGTTTGGGTATTTATTTACTCTATGGTATTGGCATTTCTTCCTAGCTTCAATTCTGTCATCCAGGCCTCAGCCACATGAAGAAATAAGGTCTTGGGTATCGGGGCTGGGTACTTCTAGTTTCTTAATAACACAAGGTTGGAGCCAGATTTAAGAGCAGAGGTAGGTGCTCCTTAGGGTAGTCCTCCTCCCTGAGTTCTCCCGTAGGTCTTGCTGGCTCCAGGAGACCAGTCCCCGTTCACCCAGTCTAGCTAACTTCAGGAGAGCTCGCAAGAGGGACCCAGGTCACCTATTTTCTTCCCTTCCCTCCTAGGTTGTTCCTCAAAGTCATTCAAGCTGTACTCGCCGAAGGAGCCCCCGAACGGCAACGCCTTCCCCCCCTTCCATCCCGGCACCATGCTAGATCGGGATGTGGGGTGAGTCTTGTCCACTTCTCGTCCCTTTTCCAGATGGGGTCCTGCCTAAAAAGGGGAGGGAGTTACACCCCCCAATAATTCCTGTCTTCCACCCCCATTCTCATAGCCTCTTCCCTTACACAGCCCAACCCCCATGTATCCGCCTACATACCTGGAGCCTGGGATTGGGTAAGTGGAGTCCAGTGGGGTGGGAGGAACTTTCCATTATGGGGGTGAGGGCAGATGTGGGGGGGTTGGGGAGGCTCTGCTCCTACTAACCTCCCTTCTTTACTTACCCCAGGAGGCACACACCATATGGAAACCAAACTGACTACAGAATATTCGAGCTTAACAAACGGCTTCAAAACTGGACAGAGGTATCCAGAGGACAGAGGAGGGAGAGGGCCATCTGGGCACCCCAGTGGGATGTCTCCTGATACACACAAACACCTCTCCCTGTGCTCTTAGGAGTGTGACAATCTCTGGTGGGATGCTTTCACAACTGAGTTCTTTGAGGATGATGCCATGTTAACCATCACTTTCTGCCTGGAGGATGGACCAAAGAGATATAGTGAGTGGCCTGTGGGGGTTCTGCCAGTTCTGCTGTGGGAGTGTATACCTCCTGTGTCCTTCCCAGGCCCGGGAGTGGGTATTTGTTCCAGGGTATCTGTTTTGGCAGGAGTGGCATCTGCCCAACCCCTTTTGAGGTCCTACTGTTCTGAAGAGTCTATCCCTTCTCTACAGCCATTGGCCGGACCCTGATCCCACGCTACTTCCGCAGCATCTTTGAGGGGGGTGCTACGGAGCTATACTATGTGCTTAAGCACCCCAAGGAGGCATTCCACAGCAACTTTGTGTCCCTCGACTGTGACCAGGGCAGCATGGTGACCCAGCACGGCAAACCCATGTTCACCCAGGTCAGCAATCCAGATGGATATAGAATGCTGAAGCACCTGAGTCCGATTCCCTTCCTCCTTCCCAAAATGTAGTCAGCTGTTCCCCCAGGGAGGCATACTGGGGCATGGCCAGATAAGAAGGGGGGGCAGGGGTGCCATAGCATTCAGCAGGCATTTACTGAGCTTGTACATGACCGTATTCTGGGCCACAAGGGTATGTACACCAGTGAGTAAGAGCGTGCCCTCATAGGAAGCTTATAGCAGATGAGTATATCAGTAACTGCATGGAAGAGGACAGGACTGGTTAAGTGTTTCTACTCAGTTTGTGGTATGTGCAAGGGTCAAGGGTATAACAGTTATGTGAGGGGATGGTCCATGCCAGTTGTACACTCAGGTTTAGGTGCAGGTGGCAGACGTATATGTGGTAGGGGAGTTGTGAGCAAATTCGGAACAGGTATACTTCCATGTCTGGGGGAGGGGGCAGAACTGTGACAACCTTGTCTCCAGGTATGTGTGGAGGGGCGGTTATACCTGGAGTTCATGTTTGACGACATGATGCGGATAAAGACATGGCACTTCAGCATCCGGCAGCACCGGGAGCTCATCCCCCGCAGCATTCTTGCCATGCATGTGAGTGTGGGCTGAAACCAAGGTGAAAGGGGGAGGGCAGGCTGGGAAGGGCAGAATAAGGTCTCGTGTCCTGACAGTGACCTTGGAGGGTTAGAGCTTCTCCGCCTGAAAAATGGATTTCATAATAGCCCCTCTCCTCTTTTAGGAGTGTCACAGGCTCAGGTGATAGGGCAGGTGAGCAAGTGCAACCCAGGTGCTAGCATTGTTGTCTTTCTCTCTAGGCCCAGGACCCCCAGATGTTGGATCAGCTCTCCAAAAATATCACACGGTGTGGGCTGTCCAATTCCACTCTCAACTACCTCCGAGTGAGTCTGATCACTCAGTCTCTGCCCCCTCCCACTGACGGAGCTCCGTGTCTCTCCCCTGACAAGCCCCCTCCTGGTCTCCCCACAGCTGTGTGTGATACTCGAGCCCATGCAGGAGCTCATGTCCCGCCACAAGACCTACAGCCTCAGCCCTCGTGACTGCCTCAAGACCTGCCTTTTCCAGAAGTGGCAGCGTATGGTAGCACCCCCCGGTGAGTACCTTGGGCCTGTATCTGCTCTTACCAGGACCTGATGCCGTCCCCCAAGGCTGTATCTGTCTCCTTGTCAAGCCCCATCCTTGCTTTTGGGTCTGTAAGACTGGGATCAGGGTAGGCTCAGGCTCCTTAGGAGCCAGAATGGGGAGCCAGGGGCCCAGCACCCTGCTCCACCTGAGTCTCTTTTCCCTGGTACAGCGGAGCCCGCCCGGCAGCAGCCCAGCAAACGGCGGAAACGGAAGATGTCAGGGGGCAGCACCATGAGCTCTGGGGGCGGCAACACCAACAACAGCAACAGCAAGAAGAAAAGCCCAGCCAGCACCTTCGCCCTCTCCAGCCAGGTACCTGTAAGCATCTCGGCTTTCTTCTCTCTTCTGGGCTCCCCCACTGCTGACCCCTGACCCTTGACCCTGCCCCAGCTCACCAGCAGGCATAGAAGCAGAGACAGTTTTCCCAGTGTGCTCTGCCAGGATGGGCTGACTCCTATCACTGATGAGAGTCCTTGTTAGTTGCATGTGTGGTTGTGATCACACAGACTCAGACACAGCAATACAGGTGTGAAGGGACAGAGTCAGCCATGAGAACACACGGACGTTCAGGACAGACAGCTTGGGAGCACACAGACCACCGGAGACACAGACACTCACTCGCAGAGGGACGTGCAGCCTCATTGTGTGTGAACCTAGAATACATGAACATGCACACACCTCCCCCATTGGTGTTTTGATCTGCTCCCTCTCTTACATGTGGACAGAAGTTTAGGAGCCCCCTAAAACTTCGGGGAGATGGACTGGGGAGCTAGGAGAGTAGATTGACTTTTCCCCAGAATCTAGCGGATGTGCATTACAGAGTGTGATGCTCTGCAGTCCTTCAGTGGGAAGGATTCCAAGGGCTGAGGGTGTCAGAGGAGTTGATGTTTTAAATTGGGGTATGAGAAGGGGGTGGGGGTGTTGAGTTTTCTGGGTGGGTATTGGGGCTCTGGGGGTTTCTGCTGCCCTGGGCTGGGCGAGCCCCTGCCCCGATTATGTTTGGGGACCTCCGCCACTCTCAGGATGTGATGGTGGTGGGGGAGCCCACCCTGATGGGCGGGGAGTTCGGGGACGAGGACGAGAGGCTCATCACCCGGCTGGAGAATACCCAGTTTGACGCAGCCAACGGCATTGACGACGAGGACAGCTTTAACAACTCCCCTGCCCTGGGCGCCAACAGCCCCTGGAACAGCAAGCCTCCATCCAGCCAAGAAAGCAAATCGGAGAACCCCACATCACAGGCCTCCCAGTAAAGGCTTCACCAGGGCCACCCAGCGCTCTGCCTGCCTGCCCCACCCCTTGAAGCCCCAGGGAGCAGAAGACAGAATGAAGAGACTGAGCATCTAAAATGGGCAGCCTCCATCCACCCACTTCAGGGAGGAACTGGACTCACTGGGGGCAGGTGCCAGGATTTGCCCCGCAGTGGCTCTGGGCTGGGCCTGGCCTCTGCAGAGCCTTTTGGGGGAAGGAGGTACTCATGTGGATGTCTGCGTGGACCCTGGGCCTGAGCAATGTCCTGACCACCCCCCAGAGCATTTGCCTCCATCCTCACCCCATGGGTTCCCCATCCTCCTGACTCGACCCCCTTCGAGCCTGGGGTTGTCTGTCCCCACAGCCCTTAGGGACTTAAAGTTATGGCGCTTGGTTGAGTGCCCCTCCCTAGACCTCCCCCAGGTGGCTGGAAGTAGAGGGGTAAAGCTCTGGGCTCCTCCTCTCTTCCACCACCTATCCCAGCTCCAAGTTTTTTAAAAAAATAATATTATTAAAAATGTAAGTTAAAAAAATCACTCATGTCCCCCCTCTTCCCCTTATTAAAAGTCCAACTACCTCCCTATGCCTGGCAGATGGGGGGTTTTGGGCCCAGGTGGAGGTGAGCGTATCGGTAGAGTAGGGGGGTATACGTTTCCATTTTATATAGTTTGAGAGCTTCAGACCAAGGAGACAGTTCGCCATCTCTCTTCCCTTTTCCTCTGGGATGACTGGAGTTGGGAAGGCATGCCATGGGGTAGGGGGCCATTGCTTCGGAACAGCTCCCAGCTGTTGTCTCTGTTTCCCCATCCTCCAGGAGGCTCGTAACTCCCTTGGTCCCAGCACCGCCGCCCCCCTGCCGTCCCCCACCCTGTGTGTATATTCGTTACAAGCCCTCCACTAAAGCAGCTGTCTTGGATGGGGGAGGGGGAGGCTCCCTCCCTTGGGGAGTATGGAGGGAAGGAGCAGCCCTGTTTGTCACTGTGTTTTTTGTTTTGTCTCGGTTGGGTAGGCATGGGATAGGGGAGGGGCTCATCCACTCTGTCCGTACTCTTCCTCCAGGCCCTCAGATTGTGAACCTAGTCCTCCCCTTCCTTCTTCACAGAGGGAAAGGAGCCACTGAGGGTATCCCACCTCTAAGCAGGGAGCAAAAGGGCTCTGTTCCCCAGCTGAAGTAGAGGGTGCTCATCTTCCCAAATCCCCTCTAGTCCTTGTTCTCGTAGAAGGAAGGGGAAAGCTGCCAGAACCCTCAGCTGTATTGCAGTCGGACATGTGGAGGTTCTGGGCCCAGCTCCGGCTCTGTTGCCTTTTCCTGTGGCGAGTTCCGGAAGTGTTAGTACCACCTGTCTTCCCAGGCTTTCTTCGGGATTCTGGGGCTCTTTCCACTCTGTTTCCTTCACTCTAGTTGCCACTGCTGGAGGGGTGTTGTGTCAGGAGCTGAGGGAAGGGGTGGGGAAGAGGGATGGCCCACCCCAACTGTAATGCCTTTTTTTTTCTCCATTTGAGTCATGTATGGTACCGATCAATAAAGAGACTTTTCAGTTTGAGCGTGTCCTGGTTGGTCATTGATGCTCAGTAATGACTCAGCCCTGGCAGTCTTTTCCCCTCCCCTCTGCAGTCCTAAGACCAGCCACTGGGGAGGAGGTGTGAACTGGACTTCTGACTCCCCTTCACTCCCATCTCACGTTTCCCCTTATTCTTCTAGTGGTGCTCCTCAGGTGTCCTAGCCTGGCCCCCTCTTCCTCAGAAGTTCAGTTCCCACCCCATTCCCACCGCACTGTTCCTCACTCCTGTCATGGGGTTGCCAGACAGGTGACCCTCCTGAGGCAGGGTTCCAGGGACAGCCTCTCCTGGATTAGGCTTTTGGGGGTGGGTGGGGAATGGCATCCTTGCCTTGGAGAGTGCTCTGAAGGAGCTTTGGTGGTTAGAGTGCCTGGGAGGCCCAGTCAGTAAGATTCCTGCCCCTACTGGGGAGGCGGGGCAGCCCAGCTCCCCAAGGGGGAAGTCAGAGAGTAGCCGGATTATCTGTCTCCTTGCTGACTTTGAGTGAGGGCACAGAGGGAGAGAGGATGCAGACTCCTTTCCAGGTAGTTACTCCCCCTCCCCTGCCATTAAAGAAGATTGGCAAGACAGGGACACACTATTATGATTTGGGATGGGGTCTCAGCACCTACAAAGCCCCCTACCCAGTCTCCCTCATTTTCATCCCAGGCAGGGGAACCTGAGGCCTCAGACTATTTCCCCACTAAGGTCTCTCTGGATCTGGAGTAAGGCCTCATGGACCTGCACCTCTACCCTCACCTCCCAGCTGGCTGAAGAAACCAGAGGACAGGATTTCATGGCCCGCCCCGCCCCCTCTCCAATTCAGCAGTGACCTTGGCCCTGCCCTGCTGCCAGCCCAGCTCCTCCTCATTGCCCCAGCTCCTCAGACCCCAAGGCCTGCATTTGCACACACACAAACACACCACTCCTCTGCAGGCCTGACCTGACTAAAGGACATTTTGCCAGCCAGCTGCTACCACCAACTCCCCCTGGGAGTGCTAGGTAACACCTACGTGGAGTGTGTCTGTCCAGTACTAGGTGTACATCTGGCCTTTTTGCCTGAGCGTGTGCCAGCGTATGTATGTATGTGACTGCTGAGCTGGGAGAGGGCTTAGATATATGTATGTAATGGAACTTACACATGTGTGAGTATGTATGTGGGATAGTATATGCAGTTGTTTATGGTATGTGTCTCGGTGGATTCATTCATTCAGCTAATCACTGAGCTCTCTCCAGGTGCCAGGCCCGATGCTAGGTGCTAGGGGTACGGTTCTGAACCAGGCAGAGAAGGCATGATTGCTGGGTGTGAGTGGGAGGCTACAAACGCAGGAATGAGGGTGTGGTGTTGAATGCATGGCTTAGCAGTACAATTGCGTTGGCTTCGGGGGCTGCTGGGACAGCAGTTGTATAACTGGTTTGGGCATTTGAAGGTTCACAGCACGTGTGTGTGTGTCGGGGGGGGGTGTTTTGGAGGAAGTGGGGGTCAAGAAAAGTGAACTGCCAGGCTTGGACTCTGCCCTGCTTGGGGAAAGGGAGTGTGTCAGGCAGGCAGGGGGAGACACTTTTGAACTCAGGAAACAGTGGCCAGTGACTTCCTCTGGAGCCCCTAGATCTGGCTCCTCCCTGTTTGCCCCAGCAACCTCGTTGAGGAAGGCCCTTGCTCTGGAGGAATGGCTCTGGCAGGGGAAGGGGAGGCCCTTGAAGGCCATCATGCCCTCTGTTCCCAGGTGCAGACGATGGGGACCCTACCCCAGGTCCCAGCGTGACTAAAAATTTTGATTTAGCCCAGCCAGGGCCCACTGCAGACTCCCAGTTCAGTCTGGGTTCAGTTCCTCCTTCCCCATATTTCCTACCCCAGCCCAATCCAGGCTGACCTCTATCTCCCTTTTTTAGGATTAATAGGCTAGTCCAGCACAATCTCCAGCCCCTCTTAGTACCCTTACCCCATCCCAGCCTGCCCTGTGCCCCCTTCCCCACTGGGTGGACTGCAGCCTGCCCAGCCCAGCCCAGTTCAGCCTGGTCTCAAGTCTCATGCCCTAAAGTGAAAAGTTCTAAACCACCCGCTCAGGGCCTCCCATATCCTCCCCTATTTTTTTTTTTTTTTTTTAATTACAAAGTGGGGCCTTGCTTTGGGGATTAGTAGAGTAAAGGTAAAGGTATAGGATTAGGAACTACAGACTGGATAAAGAAGGGAGATGAGGGCAGGAGGTGCTGAGGATGGCCCAGGCATATTCTGGGCCAGGCTGAAGGAAAAGGAATGTGTAGAAAGGAATTCTGAGTCAGCAGCCCCCTGCCTCCAAGCTGAGTTTCAAAGATGCTGCTTTTGGTCCCTGCTGGGCACAGTTTCCAGTACCCAGAATGCTTACAATAACCGTCTACCATGTAGCCACAGCCCCATCCTCTCAGCACCCATCAGTGAGATTCCTCCCCACCCCCACGCTGAGGTCTTCAGTGAAGCAGAACAGGAAATGGGTGGGAGACTTCACACTCTGCAGTTCCCAAACTGGGGCGTGGGGGAAGGTGAGTGGGAGTGGAAGCCGACCCACACCTCCAGGTTCCTCCTCCAGCCTTGGGAAGGAGCCATTTCCCATCTAAACCTCTTCCAGGTTTTTGCTCTCATGAAGACCACTTACATGATGTTTTTATTCCTATTTCCTGTCTTAGGTTGCAGAGTTTTGCTTGGTTTTATGTTTAGGTGTGATCTCTGAAAACTAAGGTTCCCCACTGCTGGAGCCCAGGCAGAGTCTACATGGGGTTAATGTGAATTAGAGTTCAAACGCTTGTTGAGTACCTGCTGTATAAACTACTCTGCTCATCATTTGTTCAGCCAGTCAAACTCCAGCTACATTTAGTGAGCTGGAGATGGAACAGTGGACGAGACCACATGGCACATACAGTTGGGTGGGGAGACTTCGAACAAATGGTCACACAGGAACGTAATTACAAGTTATGACCTAACTGAAAAGTGCTGCATAAACATATATTGGGGAGACCTCATTTAAGCTGGCGGGTGAAGGAAGGCCTCTCAGATGTATCTGCTGAGACTTGAAGGGTGAGAAGTACTTAGCCAGGTGGAGCAGGTAAAAGAACAGACCCTCCTGCTGGGACATGCTTGGTGGGTTCAAGGAACAGGACAGCAGTAGGTCCTGAGCCTGGCGAGCAAGGGGACATGGTGGCGGGGAGAGGCTGAGTTCCAGTGAGACAAGGCTGTGGTGTCGAAGATAAATGTGATGATGATGATGATGACGAAACAGATAACAGTTAATGTTCACACTAAACCAGGTTTTGTGAGAAATCCTTCGTATCAATGACCTCAATGACCGAAGAGATCCAGGAAGGCCTCTTGCTGAGAGTGAAATGGACTTACGGAAGTGCTTGTTGCGGGGGTGGGGACCTGTGGCATGTGACATTGGCAAGGACCAACTCTCTAAGTAGAGGGATAGCTTGAGGGAAGGCACTGAAGCAGGAGGGTCCCCGGGGAGAAGACAAGCAAGAGAAGCTGAAGCAGCAAGGGGTACACTGTGGGAACGTGAGGTGTTGGGGGAAGGAATGGTGGGCACATTGCTGGACGAAGGAATCAGTAAGACTGACTTCCACAGTCTTCCTAAATGGTAGAGAGTTTTGAATGACAGACTGAGAAGTTTAAACTTAATTTGACAGGGGGTGGGAAGCCACCAACAGTTCTTGAACAGAGAAGTGACTTAATCAGATGTCTTTAAATGAGATTAGTTTGGCATGGTGTATGGGACTAGAGAAGATTTAGAAGGCCATGAAGTGAATATAAGCAAGTATACTTAGAAGAAAACAACATAGAATAATATTCATCAGCCTCCTAGAAATATGTGTGAGGAGGACAAACTTGAAAGTTTAAATACCATAGAAGAAATCAGAAAGAAAAGAATGAATTTCACCTCAATAAAAGAGTGATCTATTTGGCTACCTGAGGAGTAAATGTACAACTTTGGTAAGTGTGTGTATACATAAAAAACAGCCGTGGTTGGTGTGGCTCAGTTGCTTGGGCATCATACTGCAAGGCAAGGTATCACCAGTCAGGGCACATGCCTGTGTTGTGCGTTCAGTTCTGTTTGGGGCGTGTGCGAGAGGTAGCTGATTGATATATCTCTCACACCTGATGTTTCTCTCCCTTTCTCTTGCCTGTCACCTCTCTCTAAAAATAAATAAAATCATTTTTAAAAAACCCTAGATTTCCACCCCCACCCCCCCAAAAAAAAGAAAGGTGGGCACACTGGGAGATATATTTGCAGCAAATACGATGAGTTACAATCTTGTTGTATAACTAATTTGTGCAAAATAGGTTTAAAACAGGAGGCTCCTAAAGACAAATGGGTGAAGGACAATTTCAGAGGAGGAAGTACTAAGAATAACATAAAAACATAGTAAACAAATGATTGTATATTAAAATAACATAGCTGTTTTTTGGTTCATTAAATTAACAAAGATATTTACCCTAGTAAATTAAATATATATTATAACAGCTCTATTGAGAAATAATTCACATACCATACAGATTACCCATTTAAAGTGTAAAATGTAATGGCTTTTAGTACATTCATAGTATTGTTCAACCATCATGACTTTTTATTATAATCATCTACCCAAGGATATGTTTTCATTGATTTTAGAGAGAGAGGAAGGGAGAGAGGAGAAACATCGATGTGAGAGAGAAACCAATCAGTTGTTTCCTGTATGTGCCGGGACTGGTGTCCCAACTGGGGACCAAGCTCGCAGCCTAGGTATGTGCCCTGGCTGGGGATCAAACCTGCAACCTTTTGGTGTATGGGGACAGCACTCCAACCAGCTGCAACTGAGCCACCCTGTCTGGGCACCACAACCTATTTTAAAACATTTTCATCACTCCAAAAAGAAAATCTGTACCCATTACCAGTCACTCAGCGATTTCCCCCACAATCCCACTTCCAGGCAACCAGTAATCTACTTCATGTATTTATACATTTGCTTATTTTGGACATGTTATATAAAT